ATTTTTTAAATTGCGTACTGGACATGAGCTATACTGAATTGGCACTGTTATTCCTGCTTCCTTCTGTCTGTCACACAATTGTATAAAAAACAACATATCAACAACTTCATTTTATTTTGGCTCATTTACAAAAGGACAAGTTATGAAATGAAAAAGTGAGATTAGTTTGAACAAACTGATTTAAGTATAAAGTTGAGGTTTCAAACTGTTTCTATTCTAAAACCCTGATTGGAGTTTGTTGCCTGTGGTATAAATAAATTCAGATCAAGCATATCTTGAATATGATAGCCAATGACCAAACCATATAAACCAGTGTAATTGGTTTTCCAAAACGGGATTAACAAATAAGAATATTAACAAATAAGAATATATAGCTTAGGGTTTTGAACTATTTTCAAATTGGCTACAAAAACAAATAATCATGATTCATTTCATTAAACTTCTTCAAAACAAAGACTGTTTCCACAATTACATTTCGACTTCAGCCAGGAAGCTACCTCTAATTTCCAAAATGATAACCTCAGGATGGAACATACAGTGGTTGCCTCCTATTTAGCATTTTTGTAATGTTAGCTAACGGGAGAGAAAGAAATTATTTCTTTAACAAGAAAATTATGCCCCACATAGAACAGCAGTTTCATTAAGAATCCATGTCAGCTTTTCTACGTCTTATATAAAAAAAATGAGGTAATATCATGCAGCTTTATATGTCAATTATCTGATCTTATATACCAAACAGGCATTTAGGTTCACGATTGCATTTCTTTTTTTTTAAGAAAGCGACTTGTTTTCCCATTATTCTCTGACCTATAAACCCCATTCATATCCTCATAAATGGTGACCCATTTATAGCCTCGTACATGGTAATTGAAATAAGAACAATATACATATATTACTGTATTATGATAAAAAGTAGGTCTTATAGCATTAATATACAGTTGCATTTCAATAATGATTATATATTAGGCAATGACATGACAATTCATTTTTTGTGGAGGGGACAAGGTTTTAAAACAAATTTTGTTTTCCATTAAAAATAAGCGGAAAAAAGAAATACGACATTCATTAAAAAAAATAGTTTGTTGTTGAATACAGTCAGAAAAAAAAGATTTTTCCGAGAGAAAAAAAAAAACACATTTTAAAGAAATCGTAATGTGAGTATTTTGTTATGAAGACATTTCCCATATCGTTACCAACATTCTTGACACTATAACCATCTATTTGTATTCTTTAAAGATTATGGAACACCTTCTCACTGGAATAATTTCCGGAATGAGGAGCTATAAAAAGTTTATGTCGCACACATAAAAGTTATCCAGTTTAGGAAGTCAGATCAAGATGTAACCTAATTTCCTCTCTAGATAAGCAGATTCGGTAGCAATAAAATTATGTTAAGTATTTTTTTTTTTTTGTGTGACCTGGACGAGGGGGCATGTGCCTTCTTCAAGTTGTTATTTGTTACTTTGTATAGATTTTATCTTAATTTCACAGGCATGTGTCTCTGAGAAAATATTGTTTATACCTTTACAAGTTAATTAACAGTATTTAGGCATAACTGTTAGAGACAATTATGTGCGTGTACTCAATTTCGAGAATTTTCAGATTTTATACTTCAAATTAAGGACATTTAAATTTTAAAAATATGCTCCCATTTGAAGACGTCAGATATCTTTTTTAAAGATAGTACTTGTTATGTATAGCGCTTTGAAAAAAAATGTATTAAATTGTCCGAAATGGTCTGTTTCCATAAAACCAAATGTCTTCTCTCAATGAACAGCTTTTAATTTCCTGTTGAATTAATTTGTAAGCTTCGTCTCATAAGTAAAACATTTTGTTCTATATTTCAACCTTTTAAGTATAAACAATCAATATTAAACTTATATTATTTAGATTGTGTCATATCAACAAATTTTGGAAATCCCCTTTCATATCATAATCTGAATATTGACGCATTAGAAGACTTGAAAAGAGTTTTTCAGAACTGACTAATATTACTTACAATAAATAAGTATAAAATGGAATACACGCATTTAGAAAATAATAATTGAACTAATTCATTTCTACAAATAAGTGAAAAATGGCAGAAAAAGACACTGATTCGATTGATATCAATGCTGTTCTCAATGGCATATCTGTTGTGTCTTTTGTTGAAGTATGACGAGTATTCAAAGCTATGAAATGTCTCCATTCCGTTTTACCGATGCTTGTTTACGCTGTTAATAAAATCTACTTTCCAAATTTCGATCTCTGAGAGCACAAGAGAATAATATCTGGTAACTATTAACATTAGCTTGATGGTATTTGATTTCACCTAATGAGATTTAAAAGTTAAATGAGCGTATTAACCCCCCCCCCTTCCCCCTAAAAAAAATAACAATCGAGCGTTTGCGTTTTATATACTTTCGGCTAAAATGCTATTTCCAAAAGCATTACTAAACGTATCAACCGCTAAGATAATTTCCAAAATACAATTGTGTGGGTGAAGTAACTGTTCGCGATTTTATTATGTTTTGATTGAATTAAGATGAATTAACACTGCTATCTATAATGAAAATTCACCATTCGTAAAAGTGATCAGCAAGAACAATTCTTCAAATATGTCGACATAAATCCATTTTAAAAATATTTGTTCATTATCATCACATCCTTGTCTTTTAGTCATTAGGGGGATTGTTGTCTCATTGACAATTTTTCCACATCTCCTTATTTTTATATTGAGTGATTAATAAAATAGGTTTCCCATTGTAAAAATAAATATTCACGTGACTGTAGAATTATCATAATACTTACACATACACACACACACATTATAAGTTACACAGTGTGCTCGTGACCTAATACGATATATACGGGTTCTGTAAATTCCATATATATCGTATTAGGTCACGAGCACAATGTGTAACGAATTTATCTTGACGACTATCTTGACATGTGGCATTTAGATTAGTGGCCTATCAAAGTGATCAAGTCTTCAATATTAAGAACCTACTTTCTACTAGGTCTCAACATAAGACTATAGGCGCAGACGTGCAGCTGATATCCCTAGACACATTAAGGATTATTCATTTGAAGTGTTAGTTAATAAAAGTTTCTTTAATCACATATGATCATTAATATTAATAGGAATTTAGCAGAGTATTGAACTTTTGTTTGGTCCGAGCAACAAAGCAAATAAACAAATCAAATGTGATGGTTAGAGATGGCAATATTTCTGAACGTTTTTAAGAATAAGAAAATAATAAATAAATGCAATTTTGCTTCTTGTTGACAAACCAATTCGTATATGATTTATAAACACAATGACAATCTCTTATGAAAGAAATGAAACTCAAAATCGGCAATATGTTCTGGTGGCATATGTATAGAATTATCGGCTTGTCTTCATTTTAAACTGTCATGCAGCAGCGAGTAGTAAAATTGGTTTTTTTTTGTCGATTGGGCACAGCGAACCGGAGCTAAAAGGCTCTTCATTGAGCGGAAAGGTTGATATTTAATAATTTGCTATATCTATACGCAATACACCCGATTACTTGTATGTATTTATAATGTAATTTGGGTAATTTCCCGCCACCTAGCTTCAGAAATTTTGTACGATTGGTCACATATAAAGTAAAACCAAAATCACAGAGCGACTTAACAGGTTGATCAAGGATAAGTTCTGCTCTCACATTGAGACATCCCTTATAAGGTCTCTCGATTGGCCTCAGTGGCCGAGTGGTCTAAGTAGTCGAACAACTGTATCACTAGCCTGTCAACACTGAGGTTGTGATTTCGAATCCCGCACGTGGCAGGTGCGCTCGACTCCAATCTTAATTGACTAGGAGTGCATTTCTTTCTAACAAAAACGATACAAACGGCTAAGCGCGCACATGTTTTGATCATTTGTTTCTAACATACGTTTGCAAAGTTTACCTAAACTTTACCAAACTATGCACTCGCTAAAACTGCGTCTACAGTTTGTCGTTCATCGTTTGTTAGTACAAACGCTACATTTGTTTCTAACTTCAGCCTGATTAAACGATGTGTTTGTTTCAACTTTTGTAATAAGTCTGTTTACCAACAACATTTGCATGCATTATTGAAAGTTCAAACAGGGTCAGTAAACACTGATTAAAGGCTGTATTTGTTTCTACTTTTGTAGCGTTTAGCAAACGATAACAAACGGCACACAACGTTTACAAAATTTTGGTTAGAAAGAAATGCACCCCAAGATTGTCAGTTTTCCTACCAAAGGTCGGTGATTCTCTCTGGGCACTCCGACTTCCTCCATCAATAAAAACTGACCACTAAAAAATAGACAATAGTACTGAAAGTGGCGTTAAAAACCAATCAATCAATCCATCAATCAATCAATCAATATAAGGTCTCTCTTGATGAATTACGTTCCATATCAGGGGCTGATCCAGCCATTTATTATAGGGGGTTCCTAACCCAGGATAAAGGGAGGGTTCCAACTATATGTTCTCATTCAAATGCATTGATCGTCAAAAAAAAGAGGGGGTTCCAACCCCCGGAACCCCCCCCCCCCCCTGGATCCGCCACTGCATATTCCAACCCGTGATTCGAGATTGACAGAGCGACCTAGCATGTGATATAGGCGCGGGACGAGTATGATAACGTTTACTATATTCTCAGCATTAATATGATAGTTTTGCAAAAGGATTAACGAGCGGAAGTTTCACACCCAGGTTGATAACCCATATCAGCCCTATGTGACGTCACGTGGTCGGTCTTGTATGCAGTTATCAGCATGGGTGCGTTCGTACACTGGTGGTATATGATAAAAAGATTAATACATGTCCTTTTCCATATCGGCCCTTGTATCATCCCTTGACCCATATCAGCCCTAACATCTGAAACTGTAATGGGTGTCTCGTGATGATACCCGGGCCGATATGGAAAAGGCCATGTATTAATCTGTATGGAATTGACGATACGATGTTATAAGTAGAATAAACAATTAGATTTTAACATCTTTTTTTATTTATTCTCAGATAGAAAAAAAATCAATTGTAGAACTGAAATCAATTGTAGCGCCCTCTAATATGGTTAAAATGGTCATGAATGCAGTATGTTTATTGATTGGTAGAACCCCATCATGGAAAGAGTCAAAGAAATTACTTGGTGATCCCAACTTATTGAAGAATCTTCAGACATTCAACAAGGATAATATATCAGTAAGTATCAAAAATCAACGACAAAAGCTCCGGCCTATACAGTTGTAAAATCATTGGTTTGTCTAACTGTATTGATCGAAAATTACGCGAATAAATGATGTTGAGTATACGCCGATGAGCCAACAGAATCCAATTTGAGTATACGTCAATGACGCAGAAACCCTACATTACATAAAAAAAATCTGGAGGTCAGCATACGAACTTGAACAACAAATTTGGTCACAACTTCAATAAATAAAGTTACATTCACATTAATCGAAAGAACAATTCTATTAGATTGAAAGATATCTGTTCGACGATAAGATTATTTTGTAGAGAAGTTCATGTGTACTGAGTAGAAAAAAAACCTGAATGTCAAACGATACAAGGTGACCTTAAAAATGTATCTGATGAAGGTAAAACCAAAAAAGTGTTTCGGACTCACGCCAATTATAAAGTGATATTTTCATTGAAATCTTCATTTCGTCTTATTTTATATATAGGGCTCCGCGCTTCATACAAAATGCGCTTCGGTCAATGCTTTTACACCCTAATAATATCACAAAAAGATGCATTCATTTCTTAAATGATGTTTTTCCATTGACCAGAACGATGGTTTTTCGTTTGTATTGAATTATCATAATATTATATATACAATTTGTCATTCTGGGGACTTCTATTACTATACGGTATTAATTAAGGCCTGACGGTGACATACAGCTTGTTAACATCCTGGTGCTTGATCTCTGAAAGATAGTTGTCTCATTGACAATAACACCACATCTCCTTAATTTTTATTCATACCCATTTATCGGACATGTTTGTTTGTGGGATTATTTTTTATGATTGTATCATTTGTGACAACGAATGAAATACTTGCAAGAAGAAATCGGCATTTATTTCATAACTGTTTGGTAGCCTACAATGAAACAGCTAGCGAATAATAGAAGTTCTGCACATCTGGAGGCCATCGTGTTGATGAACGGTTGTGCATGTTTGCTCTTTTTGAAATTTTCTATCTTAATCATATTCGTTACTTCGCAAATACTGTCAAGTCGCCGCATAGGAAACCATATATTTGAGTGTGTCAGAGGTGTGAGCATATTAGTAGTTATGTCGTGAAAACCTTTTCGACAGTGTTTACGTCAAGACGAAGGTTCACAATAATAAAGTTTTCCTTCATTTATTGATGGATAGTATTATCTTTTATTGGATATACTTTTAACGAGAACTCATATAAGGTCGGTCTTTTCTATAAATTGAATTCTTCTTATCAACATTTCTATTTTCATTTCAGCCTGAGGTAATAACAAAGCTACGGAATGAATACACAAGTGACCCAGATTTTACTCATGCATTCGTAAAAAAAGTATCATCTGCTGCATGTAATTTATGTTCATGGGTAATTGCTATTGACAAATATGATAGATATGTGAAATCTTCTGGTGGAAAATGAATCAAATTTTGACAGTGCATATATGTGTGTGAGAAAATGAACTAAACGAGATCGTCGGGCTTATTATGGCACTATTTGTTATGTTTACTTACCAGTTACAATTATAGTCTTTTATTTGTTGATATTACCCCTCATCTATTGTCGACATCCAGTGGAGAATTCCAAACAAGCAGGTGCCTTCAGCTTTCAAAGAGGTGTGCGTATATATTTTGTCTTGAAGCTCCCTCTTTGACTCTTAGATGAAGAACAGCAATAAAAAGATTTAATCAAGTGCGTGTATTGATTTTATGTTATGAATTTCATGTGAACCCCTGGCCACTGGTTGACGGAATATAAAAAAACTCAGGGAAGGGAGGTTTAAATGAAAGTCTAGTTAGAATGGATACATCATATCCGCCTTTTACATTTCAAGAGTGTGGAATTGCTGATGCATTTTCCTTTAAATTATTATTATATATGTACTGAAAAAATGTCATTTACATGATTAAATTCTATATTTATAGATTATCGTTGGTTATCTCAACGAGATTGATTTTCTCGCTTAAGCCGGTACGGCGAAAGCGAGAATAGCAATCGAGTTGAGATGACCAATGGTAATCTGTTTATCGCAATTTTACCTATGAAGACGTTGTTAATTTCTTTGACAACGGCACGTGTTCCCTTAGTTTCTAGCGATAATTTTCATATCACTCGACTCCGCTGAAGACGGAAATTATCAGTCAGCAAGATCAAAGGAAAAATTCGTAAAATAGCGATAAATATATATATTTACATATACATTGTCATTCATGATTATCACATAGTTGTGAAATTGAATGGAGAAAAATATAATTTATAATTTATTCAAACTTATTAATAAGGACTTTTAGTGCATTTCGAACTTAATAAATTTTACTCTGTTACGTACGTCATTAATTAGAATAAAAAAGATTCAAGACTGAAGAGTTTACTTATTTGTCAAACAAGATATTAGGTACAGGTATACTATATAGCGCGAGTCTCAGGTACAAAGGAGGGATGTATTATAAAAACCATTATTTGGGTGAATTTAAAAAAATAGTAAAATCCATCAAGTCATTCAGCTTCAACGTTATTATTTGGCTGATAAATGAAATGTCCAAATTACATGCCGAAATGTATTTATATTTTTTAATTAAGAAAAACGTCTACAGAAGGATTTTTTTTTTGTACTGTGCAAGAAATTTAATAGTAACTTCTATAAAAAAAATCTTTTGTTATATATAATGGTACGGAAGCGTATTAGCACCACACAAGTTATATTTCTTCCTATGTTTGAGTTATAACGCAAATATTTGAGAAATAACACAAACCTTTGCGTAATAACGCAAACCTATGCGAAATTAACCAAACATTTGCGAAATAGCGCAAACATTTGCGAAATAACGCAAACCTTTGCGATATAACGCGCAAACATTTTGATTTTAATTATTCATTAAGTTTTGTATATTTTATATTCAAAAACTTTATTGAATTTCATTTTACATTTATTATATAATTCCAAAGCAGTGTTCGTAAATATCGGTATTTAAATGCCCGTCTGTCAGTAAAATTTGGTTGTTATTTGTAGTTAACAGAAGGACCATGAATACATGGCCAAATCATTATCATAAATATACAAAGGATTAAAGGAATACTTGTATCGCAATTATACACAAATTGAAAATAACTTGTGTATCAGAAAGTTATGTAAATTTAACATTTATTTCAATAGGGTAGCTTGTTTGCATCTAAGGAATCCGGCGCCCATTCAACTTGATATACTTCCAAAGTGAGCGCTCGTATGAGCATTGTGTAAGATTCCTTAGGGCGTAGGATATTTGAGCGAAAATAAGAAATGCACAGAGTCATCTGAGCGCCGACATCATAGGACATAATATTAACCTTACCTTACTAAGGACGTTTGAGCGAAATTTCCTGTGATACGCAGATACCAGTAAATGGCTGAAAGGAGTGTTGGTATAGCTTTCTTAGCTCTAGAGGAAGTAGCAGACTGTTTTGTCGAGGATTTCATGACCGTTTTACTTAACGAAGGAACAGAATCTCCTTGACTTGCAATCGCGGTACTGCCAGTAGGAAATAACGAGGGATTTTTATGTCAGAAGCCTAGGATATAAATTTCAAGCCCGGGCTGACTTGTAAATACATGTAATGATATTGCCAAGTTTTAAGTTTTGTGACAGTGCTTTGTTTTTTTTTACAATAATCAATGTTTTAAACTTTGTGCGTTATAAACTCCACATTTTATTAACGATATCCTGCCCGAAACCCTTCTTTCACCTCCCCTTTGTGAGAAGGGTGTGTACCATATTATATTTGGCGAATGGAAGGGGTACTCCTTCATCATTCTTATTTATTTTTTTTTCGCTCAAATGTCCTATGCTTATTTTCATTTTTGCTCAAATATCCTATACTTTGGCGCTCAGGCGTCCTTTTTTATCGCTGAAATGTCCTGCAATTTCGCTCAAATGTCCATTGCCGATTTTAATACATTAACAGGGTCGATTTTTTATTTTTTGGTATAACTTCAATTTACTCAATTTTCTATGTAAAAAAATGTAAAATAGCAAAAATACCGAATTCCAAAGAAATTCAAAACGGAAAGTCCTTTATCAAATGGCAAAATCAAAAGCTCAATCACACAAAACGAATAGAAGACAACTGTCATATTCCTGACTTGGCACGGGCATTTCCTTATGTAGAAAATGGTGTAATATTCTCTTGCACATTATTATGTCAAGATATGTGCTAAACACTCCAGCATTTTACTTTGCAATAATTAAGTGCTAAGGGTGATGAAATTTAATTCATGCAGCCTCCTCCATTTATCACAGCTAATTCCCATGAAACTTAAATAAGAAATAAGATAAAACAAATCTTGGCGTAATAACGCAAACAGAGGAAGAAATATAAAAAAAGTTTATGTGGCGCTAATACGTTTCCGTATAATGGTTAGTTATCTATAAACCATTAAAACCAGCAGAAGAAAACATAAGACAAATTGAATACTTTGTATATATATAAAATGTTTTCTTTGTTTCTAAATCATATTGATTTGAATTGTCAATACAATTCAGTTTACATTATCAAATATTTATTGCTTATAAAATGATAATATAAAAGGTGAGAACAATTATCGAAATACAAGATTATTTATTTAGTGACAACCTGTCCAAATATATTACATGTAATTATAATCAATAATCAATTAGTGACACCTGTGAACAAAATGTTTATTTCAAATGACACGTGCCAAATTTTACATTCGAAGGAATAACTCTCTGAAAATTGACAAATTTGAGTCGCTCAACAGAATCAATAAAAGAAGAGCTGGAAAGGTGTGTTTACCAAGACTGAATTTATGTTAAATGAACAACGAAAATGGAACAAAAAGCAACTTTCAAAAATGAGTTTACAGAGGTTCGTGTCCTGATTATCGTTGACAAGAAAAAACTACTTAGGGACAAGTATTGTGAAGATGCCAAGATTTCGTACATTGTAGATAAACTTGACACTACCAGAAATGCACAAAAGCTGCTAGTTGACGATAAGATACAAAGATTTCCGAACAAACAGATAGGATCGACTAAGACAAGACCGCCGCATAAGCATGATAAATTTGGGAGTAAATTCAAAGACAAGGAATTATCAAAAAAGAAAAAGGAAGTGCATTTTGTGTCTTCTAAGATAAAAGGTAATATTCTAGACCGGCCTTTGAATAGACAAGATCCCACGCAGAAGAAGATAGGAGGTTCTTACATGAAGCGATACTGTAATGATGCGAAAATTTCAATAGTATTGGATAAGATTAATTGTACAGACATCACGATGAGCGTAGACAAAACACTGGACACAAACAATAATTACCATTCTATAAAGTACGGTTGTGTTGGAAAACTTTTAAACTGCAGTGACAACTCGTTTGGAATACAAAAAATCCATGAGCCAGAGATTAATCAGAAAACACGCGATTCAGATAGTCAATTCCGAAAAAATGGAGTGTTTTCGGAATTTTTAAAAGACAACAGAAAATATTGCAGTGATAGGAAATATGGAAGAGAAGGTTTAAATGAAGGTGAACATTACTGTAAAGAGGCTAGATTGTCCGTCTGTTGTGATAAAATTGAACATAACAAGTGTGTCAAAAGTGGACATAAAAACATTTCATGTGATAAGGTAAATTCGCCAGAAAATCCTAAAGCACAACAAATGCTTTTAACTGACGATATGTTAGCTAAGATGAAGAAACTTTTCAAAAACGTCACTATAACGCCAAAACGACAACGTAAAGATGAAAAACAAGAATTTGACATCAGAAAAGTTAAAATTGAACCAAAGGACGATTACAGAATAGAAGCAAAAAGTTCTTCGTCTGTATGTACTAGTTTTGAAATGATAAAACAAGAACCAATGATTGATATCAAGTGTGAGCCGTCTGACAATTATGATACTGTCAATATCACGTGTGAGCCGTCTAACAATTATGATACTGTTGATATCAAGTATGAGCCGTCTGACAATTATGACATTATTGATAATAAATGTGAGCCATCTGACTTTTATGAAACTGTGAACATTAAATGTGAAAAGGAAGACTTGCAGTACCAATCTTATGATTGTTCAATGGACTCAAGTTACAAGAAGCAAGAAAATTCACTTGATTTTAACGTAGAAAGTAAGTTAAGTCAAAACACAAAAGGAATAGGATCGGATATTGTGGAAATCGTTTCCAGGAAAACTGATATTTGTCAAGTGAGAACAACACAAACGTTGACAACCGGCAAAAGTGGATATCCTACATACAGAGTATTTAAAGTAAGTCCAGAAGTTTACAGGATAGAGCCTGTTGTAAATGATAGAAACATTTTTGAATCAAATGTTAACTCAGAAAAATTTGTAAACTTAGTACAAGCGGCTACACATGTTAGCGACAATTCTACTAAACTGATGGAAAGTATGCACCAACATGCAACTAACCGTACAGAAAGTAAAAATCAATATACAGCGAACTATACAGAAAGTAAAAATTTACAGACAGCCAACTGTACAGAAAGTACAAATCTACATACAGCTAACCGTACAGAAAGTACAAATTTATATACAGATAACCGGAAAAAAGATACGGAGTTTGAATTAGACTGTGATAACGACTATATTGTTATTGACGAATGGTCCTCAGATGAGACTTAAGAACAGCCAAAGAATGGCATGAAGGATGAAAGTGATCCAAGTATGTCAGAAAACAATTGTAAATCGTTGCACCTGTCATATATTGGTAACAGAGCAAGCTACAGAACTATACAAACCCTACGGAATTTTCTATTTAGAATGGAAATTTCTTTTATTTTGTTCAGAACGATGCATTTGTTGAATTTGTATGCACTTAGCATTTTTAGGAAAATTAAATCCAATTGTAAAGTGTTTGCATTTTATTATTTATTTAAATTAGTCAATTCATAAAATATAGTGGTCCTTTTTCTTTTTTGTTGCTTTTGTTATAGACATAGTTTATATCCTAATATCTTGCAACCTGTTAAAATTCGGTTTTATTCTCACAACTTGTCAAAAAAGTCGCACAAACGAGACATAGGGATGCTAATCCTACGACAAGGACAACGTTAACTATTTGTAAAAAGCTATATAATTCAGAGAGAAAAAGCCCTACATGCTTCATACCTTGTATAGATATGACTAATTTTACTAAATTGACCTCATTTTTATGGTTCAACGAATGCTTAAAAAAATACAGTTTTTGTCACGTGAATTTGTAACTTATTATGAGTTATAGGATGACTATATTTGGTATATTTGATCCTTGACAGGTGAAGATGACCGCCTGACAGGTTCACCTTATCTTGACCTCATTTCATGGATTAGTGAACAAGATAGAGTTTTCGTAGTTAGGCCCGTTTCTCAAATACTTTGAGCAGTAACTATACACAATGTTTGGTGTATGGAATGAATTTTAGGTGCTCATGTCCGTCTGGCAGGGTTCATCTGATCTTAACCTCATTGTCATGGTTCATTGGACACTGTTAAGTTTTCAGTTTTTTTTGTCTATTTCTCAAATACAACAAGTAACATCACAAGTAGTAGACCAACTATATTCTGGTGTATCGAATGGTTGTAAGATGTAAATGTCCGTCTGGCAGGGACGAGGGTTCAACTGACCTTGACCTCATTACCAACGTTCATTGGTTAACGTTAATTTTCTATGGATAGGTCTGTTTCCCAGATAATATAGCAATACAAGCTATATGAAGGGTAAAAGGGTGTTAACCATGTGATAGAGTAAATAACCACCCTCGTATTAACCAATCAAAATCTTGTATTTTAACACAAAGTATAATAATATCAAAATCATGACATGCCCAGAGATAAAATTGAGAATGGAAATGGGGAATGTGTCAAAGAGACAACAACCCGACCAAAAAGTAGAAAACAGCCCAAGGCCACCAATGCGTCTTCAACACATCGAGAAAATCCCGCACCCGGAGGCGGGCTTCAACTGGCCCCTAAACAAAAATTTGTACTAGTTCAGTGAAAATGGACGTCACACTAGACTCCGAAACATATAAATGAACTAAAATTTAAAAAAAAAACATACAAGACTAACAAAGGCCAGAGGCTCCTTACTTGGGACAGGCGCAAAAATGCAGCGGGGTTAAACTGTTTTGTGAGATCTCAACCCTCCCCCTACATACCTCTAGCCAATGTAGAATAAACAAACACACAGCAATACGCACAGTAAAACTCAGTTTAAAAGAAGTCCGAGTCCGATGTCAGAATTGGTAACAGAAGAAACTAAGCAAAATGACAATGATACATAAATTAACAACGGACTACTAGCAGTTACTGACATGCCAGCTCCAGACCTCAATTAAACTGATTGAAAGATTATGTCTTCATGATATGAAAATCAAGCACAATCCCTCCCGTTAGGGGTTTAGTATCATACCGTCATAAAATATACGAGAAGAACATAACCCGTATCATGCCAACAACTGGTTTTAGAATAAATGTGCTTATTTCCGATGCAAAGACCCTCTGAGTGACTCAATATTAATTCCGAAAAATGCCATCTTTAATGACCTGACAACAGTATTATAACTATATCCCTTCTGAATAAATGTGTTTAACGGTTTTGTTAGCTTTTGAGGTGAATGTTTACATTTTTATGCTTTGTATAGAATATTACCATAAAAGATTGGATGTGAAATACCTGAACGTATAAGATAGATATAGGAAGATGTGGTATGAGTGCCAATGAGACAACTCTCCATCCAAGTAGCAATTTATAAAAGTAAACCATTATAGGTCAAGGTACGGCCTTCAACACGGAGCCTTGGCTCACACCGAACAGCGAGCTATAAAGGGCTCCAAAAATTACTAGTGTAAAACCATTCAAACGGGAAAACCAACGGTCTAATCTATATAAAAACGAGAAACGAGAAACACGTATGAACTACATAAACAGACGACAACTACTGTACATCAGATTTCTGACTTAGGACAGGTACTAACATTTGCAGCGGGATTAAACGTTTTAATGGTACCAAACCTTCTCCCTTTTCTGAAACAATAGTATAACATCACAACATAGAAAGACACACTATAAAATATCAATTGGAAGGCTTAACTCAATCAAAAAACTCAAATTAACACACAATGAACATATAAATATGATCTGTGATACCTGAATGCAAATACATAGTTAATAAAAATTATAAGGGATAAATAATTAAGGTCAAAAGTAAATAAACAGGTTTAAACAAAGTTAAAGTATGATACCACTGTGAAATTTTAAACAATTTTTAGAAAATCATCACTTTTGAAAAAACCTGCGTCATATTATACACATGTAAATGAAAATAATTTTGTCGTTAAGTATACTTCTTCTTCTGTGTGTATAAAAATCTTCCGTTTAAGAATACCAAGAAATCTCTTTATATCAATAAAACTAATCTAACACTTGGTACATATCAACAATAAAACTATACAATTAGTGCTAGATAAAACTTCCTGTGCAGGTGCAAGAACAGTATTTAAGGAGAAATGAAATAATGAAGATGTCTGCATGTTGATTTATATTTACGAATGATGTCCATGTGCCGATATCATGATAAAATTTAGTAAATGTTTTGACTAGTTTGTGATATCGAAAACCCTGGTGTAATAATTTTTCAGTAATACAGAGATTTCTTTCGTTAAAATCAAATACGTTGTTACATACACGAGCGAATCGAACAAGTTGAGATATATTAACACCATAAGATGGTGACAAGGGAACGTCAACATCTAAAAATTGATAATTAACAATAGGAAATGAAAAATCATCTCATTTATCGTAAATTTTGGTATTAAGCTTCCCGTTAAAGATATAGATATCAAGATCCAGGAAAGGACAGTGTTCATTGTTAGTATTAGCTTTATTTAAAGTCAGTTCAGCAGGATAAATATCTTTAGTGTACATACTGAAGTCGTCATTATTGAGAGCCAATATATCATCCAAATATCTAAAAGTGTTATTAAATTTTTGTATCAGATGTTGTTTCGATGGGTCTTTGCTGATTTTAGTCATAAATTGTAACTCATAACAATACAGAAACAGGTCCGCCATAAGTGGTGCACAGTTAGTCCCCATTGGAATTCCAATAACTTGACGATGTACGGAATCTCCATAGCGAACAAAAATGTTATCTAGTAAAAATTCAAGTGCAGTTATCGTATCTAAGCAGGTCCAATTGACATAACATATTAATATCATAGCATACCTAGAGATAACAGTATCGAAGAGGAAACAATAATAAATCACTGTATGTCTAGAGACAACAGTGTTGGAGAGGAAACAATAATAAATCTCTGTTTGCCTAGAGATAACAGTGTTGGAGAGGAAAAAATAATAAATCATTGCATGTCTAGAGATAACAGTGTTGGAGAGGAAACAATAATTATATCAATCATTTTATGTCTAGAGATAACAGTGTTGGAGAGGAAACAATAATAAATCATTGTATGTCTAGAGATAACAGTGTTGGAGAGGAAACAATAATTATATCAATCATTTTATGTCTAGATATAACAGTGTTGGAGAGGAAACAATGATAACACATATCATTGCATACCTAATGAAAACAACATACGATATTTGTTTTTCATGACATTTGGTGTTGATGGCAGGTCTTTTGGTAGTGTATGTATGAGGGTCTGGACGGTAGTTCTGTATTCTTTAATTTTTAAGCCATTTTTCTCTATTCTTTATACTAGTATTTGAGCACCCATTATTCTCTATCTCTATTTTTCATTTTTTTGGCCTATTTTCTTATAAGATCATCCTATGTCCTCACTGGTCATCCAAACAAAGAAATATTCTTTCGTAGAGTGTGTGATAGGTGGAAGATGCATAAGCGTGTTTCCTTTTATATTTTGACAGTATAAAAAGTTAGTGTATTATGTTATCTTCTTAACTTAAATAGGTCTATATCTTTAATATAAGATATAATAAAACCGTAGTAAACTAGAAAGAAATAATGTATAAATTACAAATTATTAACTATAATGTATGACGCGCCGGTGTAACATTTATAATATGCAAAAGTTAAACCATGGACCAGGACTGGGCAAAATAATCACCATTTGAAATGTAATGTGCCAACGGTAATAATACTCGCTGCCTACCAAATATTATTGTGGCTTCTCTTTAACTAACCTAATCACAAACTTTAACAATTGTTGACGCCGACGACGAAAGCACCAGCAGCAAGACTCAGGCTCGTCTCTTCGGCATCGTCGAGTCGAATCGAAAATTGTATTTATCCGTAAATAGTTTTTTAGCACGTAGGATTGAATTTACCGCGCTTTCTCTCACGCATTTTGCAAACCCCAATTTTTCAAGCCTCGTTTGAGTGGACCATGCTTTCAAACAGTACTTTGCTCATGGCTGCACGCTAAAATATTTGCTAGCTTTAAAATGGCACAAGGACTCGACCCAGGGGAACAATTAAGCGACATTATTGAAGGACTTAGACGCCGAAAAAGTAAAAAGTCTGATTTGAACGAATCTGATGACGAATTTCAAGATTCTTTCGACGAGTTTCAGCCGGAAAAGGGGGTACCGCCAACCCCACAACAGAAACTGTACCGTCGTCCGTCAACTCGGAAGAGGAAGAATGTGAACTCGAAAAACAGTTAAAAGAGCTACAGATTGAAAGGAAGAAGGCGCATTTACGCCAGCAAATTGAAAAGGAAAGTTTACGGACTTTGCAAGCCTCAGCGATCAGGATCCCCGCCGGCCCACAGCCGTCCCCACAGTAACTTTCGACAAATGTAGTAGCAGGTGAGACATTAAACTTTCAACAAGCTAACATAGAACGTAAAGCACCACAAATTTTGTCTTTCATATGGCCAGAACCTGTCGAACAATTTCAAACTTTTACTCTAGGGGGCGAAGTCGAGTTCCGTGTGGGCAAAAAGAAAACTTTGGATAAAGTACGTAACAATTGAAGAATGGGGATTCAAAATATCAAAATCATGCAGGAATTAGTTAAGCAAAAGCGTCTGAATATAGATGGATATCTAAACTATACAGCTGACATTTACCGTCTAGCGGCAGGAAATATGTGGTATTCCGTATTATTGTATAATAAGGAATATCGTCAGAAACAAACGGATGAATTATATATTTGAATGGGTTATTTATCGACAGGATTTACGCGATTTTCTGTTAGTCGCAAAACATGAGAATCCAACAATGCGTGCGTTTTCGGAAGCGTCTGTTGGGGTATCAAAGGGCAGGGGAAGGAATTCGAGGTCAACGACAGAGGAACGTCGCAAAGGCCCGTTTCTTCCGGATGGGCGAGAAATTAAACTTCCGCAATTAATACTTTGGTGTCGCCTTTTACCTAGTGATACTATAGATCTTGAATTCATTTTAGATGGACTAAAATCTAAAGATCTGTCATTTGTCATAGTTCTGATCATGATTTAACAGGCTTAAAGTGGACCTTTCTGGCGATGATAGTCCTACTTACATGTATGATTCTAAGCTACCTTTTGGCCATTCCCGCAGTCCAATTTTTTTTTCAAAAGCTAAGTGAATCTGTGTGTTTTATTATGAAAAGGGTATATAATGTAATATGTATTGCATATTTGGATGATCTTTTAATAATTGCAGATACAATGTGTTCTTGTAGTAGAGGGTTACAATTGTTGATACGTACTTTACGAGAATTAGGTTTTAATATTAATTGGTCCAAGGTAGAAGGACCATCACAACGCATTACTTTCTTAGGTATAATTATAGATACCCGCAAATTAACATTATCCATGCCAAAAGAGAAACAGTCTGAATTTTACAATTTTTTATTGACTTTTCAGAAGCGTCTCTTTGTGGTAAATTGAACTAGGTCTGCCAAATGGTGAAAGGTGGGAGAACCTTTTTGAGATGAACGATAGACTCTATTTCAAATATACCTAATCGCAGTGACAAAGTTATATTGTCTGCCGAATTTTATGCTGTCATATTGTGGTGGATAAGTTTTATGCAATTTTTTAACGGCACTGTTAAATTCATGGACGCAAAGAAAAGTGACTTCCTTACAAACTGACGTGTCTCTGTTGGGAGGTGCTGGCTATTACAACGGAGTTTTCTACTATGTGAATTGGGCTATTAACTTTCCGGCCGTCAAGAATGAACATATTAACATTAAGGAGGCAGCCGCCGTTATCCTATCTGTGCTCCGTTGGGGACACTTATGGACAAACACATCCGTCATTGTATTAACAGACAATATGACGACAAAATGCGTTTTGAATAAGGGAACCTCAAAAAACAAGTGGTTAATGTGCTTACTGAGGGATTTATTTTGGTTATCCGCTATGTATAACTTGACATTAAAGCAAGATATTTGAGATGACGTGTAATATCATAGCCGATGCTGCCTCGAGGCTTCACGAGGACGTTCAACTTTCTAAATTTAATGAAATATTGACTAGCTGTAGTTACATTCCCTTTACTGTGCATGAACTACTGACACATGTTTCGTTTGACTTTTATCTTTCCAGATGGCACACATCTTTTATCGGACCTAGATAGCTGTAGAACGATTAAAAGGCAAGGGTGGGCTGATTCCACCTCCGGGACATACCGTACGCACTTGAAGACGTACGTTAAGTTTTGGGAAGACTACAAGCTTAAACCAGTGCCATGTGACCAACAACAAACTGTGGAGCTTTACATTGCTTATTTGTTTGACAAGAAACATTTTGCTTATAGCTCTATTCGTTGCTACATAAACATTATTAGTGTTTTGCATAAGATGCATGACCTAAAGGACCTTGTTGCCGATTTTTGGAATATTAAGCATTTGTTAACGGGGGTTAAGCGAGAATTAGGTGCAAGCCAATCTTGTAAAGCGCCAGTTACTCCCGAACTTTTGTTAAATGTTAGAAAATCTTTAGATAAGTCGAATCATAATAATGTTGTTTTTTGGGCCTCTTGTTTAACTGGGTTTTTCGTTTTTTTGCGACCTAATAATTTCTTAGTTAAGGGTACGTTTAACCCAGAGATAAATTTGCGTAGAATAGATGTTTTGTCATGTAGTTGGGGCATATTGCTACGCCTTAAAGTCATCAAGACCCTTCAGTTTTGTTCTAAGCCAATAGAGGTTGTACTGCCTTATTTGCATGATCATCCTTTGTGTCCCGCTACAGCCATGTCTAATGTCTTAGCCTTAGCAGGAGATCCATTGGACCCTCTTTTTCGCTTATTAGACCGATCTTGCCTGACTTGTATTGTATTTCTAAATAACTTCCGTTTTATTTTGCAACATATGAAAATGGATCAGTTAAGATATCGCGGTCATTCTTTTCGTCGAGGGGCAGCTACATGGGGTAGTAAAGTAGGACTCTCGGATAGTGCAATCAAGTTATTAGGATACTGGTCAAGTGATTGTTTTTCTCGGTATGTAGACACTGATATCGAGGAACGTCTTAAAGCCATTTCTACCTTTAGTTCCCTTTTACCACGTTAATTACCCCTTTTTTGATTTGGGACTTTTTTGTTACATGTACTTGCTTGTTATATGATGGGGATATGTATGTTATTGGGGGGTTTATTTGCTTTGGGGTACCAAGCTCAAATAAATATTGCCATACGTAGTTTTGTTTATTATACCAAGTAAGGTAAAATTGTATTTATCCGTAAATAGTATTTTAGCACGTAGGTTTGAATTTACCGCGCTTTCTCTCATGCATTTTGCAAACCCCAATTTTTCAAGCCTCGTTTGAGTGGACCATGCTTTCAAACAGTACTTTGCTCATGGCTGCACGCTAAAAATTGTTGTTAGCTTTCCCACGCACCCTCCCAGTAGCATTACTAAGGATGTTGTATTTGCGTGATAACTGCTGCTACTTTTAGCCATATTATAGACTTTTGTTACACATATATACTAGCATTTGGACTTTTTTGTTACATGTACTTGCTTGTTATATGATGGGTATATGTATGTTATTGGATGGGGGGTTTATATGCTTGGGGGTACCAAGCTCAAATAAATATTGCTATACGTAGTTTTGTTTATTAAACCAAGTAAGGTAAAATAAGGCTTTAGACAAATTTTAAACATTTGTTAATAGGGAGATTAAAGGACAATTACCAGTATATGATCCTATGAGGTCTTCGACTTGTCTTAAAAGGGAAATGATTTACAAAAGCTAAGTCCGTAGGAACAGAATCTATAACAGTTGCGTGGTCAATTTTAAAAAAAAGTCCCTTTCTGTGAATACTTTGAACTATATAATTATAGGCATATATATATCATAATGATAAATCTATAATTTGAACACATCCTTATCATGTATGGTTGAAAAAAACAGCCCGAGTTATTGCGAACCCAATGAAAGTTTTCCACAGTGCCATCTCTATCTTGACTTAAACTTTTGCAAGTTCACCTGTCCTATTGAATAGATACAATAGCTATTGTTTTCTGTGTAGTTTATTCTCTGGGACTTTTAAATTTCTTCTAAGAGAAATCTATCATTCATTGATTAAATTACCTGAGTAAAAAAAAATTCTTATATATAGACAAAAATACTTTTTTTATACTCATTAACTGCATGTGATGATGTAGTTATTCAATATTAATAATATATTTTCATTCAGTTTAATATAAACATTGATTCAATCATAAAAATTTGATTTCTGACAAAACTTTCAACATTGTTCCTTTTAAAAAAAAATTTGTTTGACATGAATAAGAACTTGAAAATAATGATGTTTCAAATTAAGATCTTCTTAAATGTATTCTATAACTAAACAAAAAAAAATCAAATTTCAATAGGAACATTGATAAAACTTTTGTTAGAAATCAACTTTTTATGATTGAATCAATGTTTATATTAAACTGAATGAAAATATATTATTAATATTGAATAAATACATCAGCACACGCAATTAATGAGTATAAAAAAAGTATTTTTGTCTATATATAAGAATTTTTTTTTACACAGGTAATTTAATCAATGAATGATAGATTTCTCTTAGAAGAAATTTAAAAGTCCCAGAGAATAAACTACACAGAGAAAAATAGCTATTGTATTCATTCAATAGGACAGGTGAACTTGCAAAAGTTTAAATACCTGGTCAAGATAGAAATGGCACTGTGGAAAACTTTCATTGGGTTCGCAATAATTAGCAGATAATGATAGCTATTTTACCGCATCGCAGTCAGTTCCTATCAATAATGTATTTCCCTGGTTTAACGAAGCATGGAATTATTTGTGAATATATATAAGATATAATGAAATTGATCAAAGAATGAAAACATGGAAGGCATACCGGTCTATGAGGGTCTGGATGGGGTTTACAAAATAGAGTATACTGGGCACAAAGTACAGAATAAAGGACAAAACATATAAAGAGCAGAGAAAAATAGGCAAAAATAAAAAAAAAAATGAAGAATAGAGAATAATGGGGTACTAAAAAATAAAGAACAGAGAATGATGGACAAAAAGATAAAGAAAAGAAAAATGGCCTAAAATATTAAAGAATATAGAAGTAAACGACCCCAATCCAGACCCTCGTATATAAAGAGAAAAGAGAATCATACACTATATTCAGTGTTAATGTTTCTTTTTTAGGCATACGTTGCAAATGTATGTATGCTTAACTGGACAGTATAATAGCTAGCTCAAGACATTTGATTACTAGTATGAACGTTCAGTTTAGTCTTTTGACAACCAGCTTGTTCATGTCGGTGAGGATAGAGGGAAATAAAATCAATGGGACAAAATTCGCTATTGACAACGACAAACGGATCGTATTTAGTGCATACACTACAGACCAGCTTGTTGCAACGAAAGGAATGTGTGCAATGATGTGTATTTTAGAGGAGAAATGCTGTGCGGCAAGTTATAATTACGCAACTTCTACTTGTCGTCTGGATACGTCTGAGCACTGTTGTGTTGATATCGAGGTTGTTGACGGATGGGAAGTTTTCAAAAGAGGTAGTTATTGTAAGATCACATATGTTTTAGGAAATTCGTAGGCCAATTTTGCTCTTTGTTGAAAGGAGGGGGAAGCAAAGAAAGGGGTGATTACTCAGCCCCCTTAAAAAAAATGGGATGGCAAGCTGATGTTATCCCACTTACACAGGCTTCAACCAAAAATACCAAAAACCTGAAGGTTTTCATATTATTTGTTAAAAAAAATCAATAGAGTCTATTTGTTATTTATCAATTTATTTTCCTAAAGTTTGTTGCAGTCAAAGTGGTTTTAGTTTACGGTTTCGGTTTTTGAATGGTTTAAAGGTTTACCTGTCTCGAAACAAATAAAACGTTCTGAAAAAGGTTTATCAAACTGACAGTGTTCAAAACACACTAGGAGGTTTGATAAGTTTTGTAAACCGATTTTGGTTTTCAAGAAACAAATGTAAGACCAGCTAGTTCGGACCGGTTTGGAAGAATGTTTATGAAACCTACCCGAAACCGAAAGCAGTTTAGAGCAAACAAATACGCCATAAATGGCTTTTTGCTGTAATAATACTAACACAATCTTTAAGTTACATTATACGGAAGCGTATTAGGGACATAGTAAAAATAAAATTGGCGTTGAACTTTTGTTTTCAAAGTCGAAATTTTTACATTTCAAATCTTAAAATTTCGACTTTATCTCGAAATTTTAACTTTTCAAATCTCGAAGTATTGACTTTAACTTGAAATTTTGACTTTTAAAAATCTTAGAATTTCGACTTTTTAAAACGTCAAAATTCTGACTTTTTGAAAACTCGAAATTTCGACTTTATAAAAAGTCAAAACTTTGACTTTAAACTCAAAATTTCGACTTAGCTCTTCAACTGTTTTGGTTCTTGTACATCATTGGCTTTCAAATATTCGGCTTTGAGCGTTCCTGATGACGGTAAATTCAGAAAAGCGCTTCGGACGCAGAACATTTATAACGTGTTGTTTTCCATTTTTTCCAACCTCGAAATTTCGACGTTCAACTTTTTCAACTTTGATATTAGTATTCAAACACAGTTATTACAATTTTAGAAAGAGGAGACATGGACGCAAATTACTAAAACGTCATCCACACATTTTGGCAATTTATATTCAGAAATTGGTTTTGTTCTTAAATTATGATATGGATTAGCATTTAATATTGAAGAGTTTCATTCAGAAAGAACATGCATGTTGACAGAAAAAAAATGTTGTTTTCCCATAATCCATGTTTTAGTTTCCACGACACTGTCATAGGATCGTCAGATCTGAGGACATTTTGCATCCCATGTTTTATGGTTGGTTTTAAAGGCCTGTTTGGTTTCCAAAAAGCAAGTCACTGACTTTGCTTTATTTAAACAATGGTAAATCAAGTGGCAAATATCCCATGCATATTCAGGACGACTCATGAGCTGCTCAGTTTTCTAGTTTTGGAATTTTGAAATGTTGGTTCCTTTTTCTGAAACATTGATTAAACTCTACAAGTTGGCATTCTTATGACACAACTATTTACCCTTGTCTTTATATACTAGACTGTTGAATAAAAGTATGGCGTAATATAGGTGTGTTGGAATAACGGGGTTGTCTTGATACACATATCTGAAGTCCAGACTTGAAGTAGATATTTGTACGTGAAACATATTACATTTATTCTTCCGCAAAAAAAGATTTTCTATCTAAAATAACCTCTTTAAAATGGTTTTGTTTATTAAAAAATGCTTTCTGATGTATATGGGTCTCCGCTTGCTGATATAAATGACTGTGCATGTGATAATCGCAAACGTTTATTTATGCCTCGTTAACACGTACATTTAATTCGAATTGACTTCGAATCGAATGCCAATCGAATTCGCTAATCGCGTTCACACACTCTTCTTTTTTTGATTCGAATCGAATTCGAATTGGCTAATTCGCATTATCCAATTCGAATTAGAAATGCGTTTTTGTTAATACAAATTAAAAGTTAACGTCGTTCGGACAGTAAAGCGAATTTGACGCGCAGTGCAATTCGAATTAGAATTTACGTTTGGACGTAAAACGTTTCGAATGCGAATTAAACTAATTCGAATTAGTTAATGCGAATCGAATTCGAATTACGTGTAAACGCAGCATAAAATACTGAGGAAAAGTCGAAATTTTCAGTGTTTAAAAAGTGAAATTTCAAGATTTTAAAAAAGTCAAAATTTCAAGATTTTAAAAAAGTCAAAATTTCAAGTTAAAGTCAAATTTTCGAGATTTGAAAAGTTAAAAATTTCAAGTTAAAGTCGAAATTATATGATTTGAAATGTCAAAATTTCGACTTTTGAAAAAAAAGTTCAATGCCAATTTTATTTAACTTTGTCCCTAATACGCTTCCGTAACATTAGAATCAGTTTATATGTGACGCCCCTCTATACTTATTGTTCACTTGGAGTAGGACCTGAAAGGCCTAATTTGACCTCAAAATTGAGTTTCTAATATCTTGTCTTAATGCACTGGTATAGACGATATTTTAAAAAATATATGTATATACTTAAACACTAACGTGTTTGCTTAT